GGTTTAGAAAGTTCCAATTATAATTTCGAAACCTTTCTCTGTACATAAAACGTGAAAGATTTATCTAATCTAACATTATTTATCAAATCCTTTTCATCGCATGATGAGAAATTAAACGACTTGCTCTTCTCAGTTCCAGTTCCGGAGCACAAGAAACCCACCGACTACGTTTCCGGTTTGTTCAGGGTGGAGGCGACCTTGCAGCCGAGGCCTAGGCGCAAACTATCCGTCGGGGAGCCGACAACTCCGTGCTCTGAAAACGGAGACGACGAGAAAAAGTGAGTACTGCTGTTTAATTGAAACAATTCCGGTTTTTCGATAAAATTGATTACACATTGGCTACTGACTCTTGATTATCACATTAACTGATTCCTCATGGCAATAGTTTATTTGTTTTAGTAGAGATTTGTCTCAACCACATTATTAATGTGATTGTTATATACAAATTTAGAAAAGAATTATACCGTGAATTTCGCAGTATTTTAGAAGACCTGTAGTCCCAATCACGAGGAAACCATGTCAAGGAGTTTTCCTTTTTGTGATTAAACGTGATCGTTGATTGAAAGGAGGCTGTCGCGCATGGGACACGTGGAGTCTTAATTGGTCAGCGAGTGACATTTACGTGGGTGTGATCGCGAGATTTCTATATAGGATATACACACATACTTATAGACAGAATCATTAAATAAGCTCCATTAGCGTTTGGAGTTAATTGTCGTTTTCGAGTAGTCCGTTATAAATCAATGACACCAACAAATGACCGAACAGCGCGTACAATTTATAACTTCCTAATTACTAGGGATTCGTCTAACGCTTTTTCTGACCCAGTGTTTTCATTCGCTCACATTTCCCAAGGCTGATGAATGATATATGGTGATTAAACTCTTCATACCGGAGAAAATCTAATATAATTCTCTTCGGTATCAATTTATAAAAACAGAAACACTCGAACGCGGTACGGGGTATGAGGTTTCCTCTGATTAATGTCAATCGAGAAACTAGTTTTCCCTTTCCCATTAATCTGGAACTCGTCGCTCGATCGGGGACAATATTTCCGTTGGCACGCGCGAGGAGAAAGTAGCGGAGGCGCAAGGCGGTTGCGTAACTAGCCATAAATGATATTGTTATTAAGCTAGCTACTTGGTGGTCTACGCATCATTTTGTTCGCCAGTCGACCACAGACGAGCTGCAACATCGTTTCGCTCGATATTTTCTCGCGGTTCTTGTCACGCTGTTCTATCGTAATCGGCGAGTATGGAAACCAAACGCACGGAGAAGTACTTACACATATTGAAACCGCTAAACTTGTTGTAACACCGACAGTGACTCACAGATTTGTTCATTTAAAAATAATATATTCTCTTTATGTCTAATAAACTGACCAAGTACTATCATAATATCACAAAAAATGTATGATGACAACTGCGTATTTGTAACTCCGTTTAAGACAGAAGACAATCACTGTTTTTAAAACGTGAAATTATATGAAGAAGTCTGTGAGTTATTGTATCCTCTACGCTATTCTACAGCCTGTATTAATCTTCAACTTACGAGTCGTGAACTAACTTGCATGTTCCGCCCAACTAACGTTCACCTGAAGGCATCAGCAGATCTTAATAACGTTGCTTCGCTTACCGAAGGAACTTCCTGGAAAGCACTTCGTACCACACCCCGGTACGAAAAACGCTATTCGATGATCTTTCAGAGCACAGAGAGTAAAAACTAATAACTTTTCCAATTCTCATATTATTTTATTGAAATTAACAATTAAACGTAGTCGAATGACGTTAATGCAGCAGCTTTTATTGTTTATGAATGGCGTTAACGAGCTACGTACGATTAACTTATCTCGCGCGTTCCCCTCCGAGTACTTATCTACTCTCATTTCTCCGCGAAACTATCACAATTCGACTTAACCGAAACGCATTAAAGCGATCACACGACTCTTGCACATTCGGAGTTTACGACAATAAATCATGCAAGGAACGGAACGTTCACCGTTCCTCGAAACGTGCCAATCGTGAGTCACGCAGCCCAATGATGTAATCTTTGTCTCGTCCGGGATCACGGAGCTTAGTCGATGACTTTTGCGGTCGTCAAAATGAAACCAATAGATGATTTAGAGACGGAAATGTTTGTTGCAGACACGAGATACCCTCCGCTCCGGACACTCCGTTGTCGGCGGACTCTACTAGTCCCTTGTCCCCGACGTCGGCTTATTTCACCACGTCTGAGGGAAAGGCAAGGTTCCTTACGAGATATTCGCGGGATGGGACAGTGGAAGGTATGACACGGCAGGAAGACTCGCCGCCATCGGTCATTCCGACCGACAGCCTTGATCTCAGACAGAAAAAGGTAATGAAACATTCAGACTCATCATTAATACATTTTTAAATAAAAAAATATATAATGTATCGTATTGGATTCATTATATTTTATTCTGTCCCTTCTTTTTTATTCATTCATGCATTCCTGTTGAAGAAAAGTGGATATAAGTGATTTGTTCTTTCGCAGGAGGAGCTGATGATGAGGCTGGACAAGAAACTTGTGGTCCTGAGGGCCGAACAAGAGGCTGTGCGTGAGGAGGGCGAAGTGAACGAATCGTTAGGCGCGCGAGTCGCCACGAGGATCTCTTCGGTCGCTCGACCTGCGGAAGCGTCCAAGTATCGGCTACACGTGGAAGAAGTGGGCAAGATCACGAGTCTTCTTCTTGGTTTGAGCGGTAGATTAGCTCGAGCCGAGAATGCCCTTTACGGAATGCCGGCCGATCACGCAGAGAGGGTAAGCGATCTTTTATCTTTTTTAATCCGTATTGCATTTGTCGAAATGATTTTATGGTTGAAGGAAACTGACAGACAATCTTATAATACTTTGTGTTATTTGTAGTCTGTCAGCATTAGCTAATATTTAGGATAAATCTAGAAGTTATATTTTATCTCTCGTTTAATTAAATTGCAACATGAACAAATTTTTTAAATAATGACTGCAAATGGATATCAGATTAAAATAAGTCAACTGCGATTTTAAAGGATCGATCTATCACGTCTTTTATAACGTTCTATGCAGAGGTATTCAATTGATGATTATTAAAAACCGTGTTCCCTTATTTTTCTTTTTACAGAAAATCCTGGAGTGCAAAAGGAACAAGTTGGTTGACCAACTGGAAGAGGCGAAGATCCTGAAGAGTAACATCGACAAGCGTAGCGTGAACGTGTCGACGATCCTGTCGAAGTACCTGAACGAGGACGAGTTCGCGGATTATCAACACTTCATCAACATGAAAGCGAAGCTGATCGTAGACGGCCGTGAGATCCAAGACAAGGTGAAACTCGGAGAGGAGCAGCTAGCCGCGCTACGAGAAGCGATCGACTAGTCGTAAAACAGCGCGAGCCTTATCGCGAGCTGATCGCACCAGAGGTACGCGTGATTATACTTGGAGAACGCGTGCTCCTTCAAGCGTACGATGTTTTTGCGTTACGAAGGGAGCACGCGAACAGGTTCAGGGTATTTTGCAACGACCCGCTGAAACATACTAAACGATCCCTGCTACACGTGTTTTTTCTTTTTTTTTTAAATCGGTGAATGGAATGTGATATCCGTAGCGAGCATCGTATTGGTAGTTCGAATCGTTTTTACAAACGGCCGCATTTCCTCTTTGTACATACTCTTTGAGTTATAGGTAGTTCAAGCGCCGGCGTATCTTATAGTCTATGCTAAATTGTTCGAGTTGGAAATTTTTCTATGGGTAAATGGTGCGGGAAGTAAAGGTCACTGCTCGCGTAACGATCTTACTGATCCACGCGTGATCCCTAGATCGCGTCTCAAGTGCCTAGTCGTTGGTGAGTTCGCATCGACTATGTTTATGTCCCAAGTGGTATGTGAATGGAATACCATAGTAGGCGCCACGAACGGTACCTGCGTGTAACGATAAAATAAAAATATGAGAATAGAATCGTTATTTCTTTTCTGCGTGAAATTTCAAAATACAAAGTAAATGCATAACGAATTATTTTGTGCATGTATTGTAATTCGAGATCAAAAGTTTAATATATTCCATTTATATTGTTCTTCGAAAAATCGGATATGGTCCTGTCGTAAGCGGTTCTGTTCGTGGCAAAGCGTGGACTCCAGTTAGAAAACAAACACGTGTACAGTTGAGAGATGTTTTTCATTACCTGGTTAGCATAATGTGAGCGGCGGCCGCGCCGCGAATATATTTCTTGACCTAAATAGAATTACTTCTGGTGCCTTCTTATATACGATATGTGATATAAAGGGTAAGGAGTCACGTGGTTGTTAGTTAGACATATAACCGAACGATACTTCAGGCAACCAACCGACGTTTTAATATGTATATAATTACGAAGGATGAGATAAGGTAGCGTTTAATAATTATAGTAGTTGTAGGATACACGCATCTATACATATACACTACATGAAAGAAAGGTACACGTACTCGTAGCAAATGACAAGTGCGCGCGACCGCGTGCCAGATACGCATTCAGAATCATTATACACGCTCACGTATACAACGATTATTACAGTTTTGTTCTAACCCTAGAGGCTCCCGCGAGCCTCTGTAACGCTTGTGATGTTACTTACTTTTGTACGACCGTATACCAAGGACTCTCGAAAGCGAACAGTAAACGAACAGATTTCGAGCCTCCGTGGTGGTCTTATAAAAAAAAATTTTATGCCTCGGTCGTTCTAAAGCTATTCTCTGTCAGTCACTCCTCCTTCTACCCACGAGACCCCCTTTCCATTTTATATCGCTTTCATTTTATATTACCTGCCTTCTTCGTTTCGACGATCATACTCGACGATGAAGCCGGGAACGGAGAAGACGGCCACGAAAATTCAAAGCGACGGATCCTCCGGTTTTTTGAGCTCGGTAATGAGATACTTACCCGTTGACTCAAATATCCTGAGACGGAATCTGTCTCCCGTCACTCGTTCCAACGAACGATTTGCGATTACATTATTATCAGCTGTCTTTCAACGACAATTACAGTTAAATATTATTTTGATTTTTGTACCAGAGATAATAAATTTTTAAAACGATCTTAAAACGTAGTGTACATCGCAAATGTATCGTTTTTACATTTCCAAGCGAGGTCGACCAAGTCGCTTCACGAAGAACGAGCAAAATTGCATTAAAGAACGAAAAAGAAGAAATGTAGCGTGCGTAAAAGACTGAGCACAGGGCATAAAATTTTGCTACAACACTATAGTCAATTTCTGTTCCTCGTTTTGTTTCTCGATTTTTCGCAAGATATAATAACGCGCCGATACGGGGGTGACACAGTAATCTCGCCGCCTGACCAGCCAGAAATTATCCACAGTGGTTTCGGTAATGCGCTTGGGAGCAGCATTACGAGTCCCGATTCACCACGGTGTTTCGCGGCAGTCGTTCGCGGAAAAGTGTAAATAATATATTCAGTTGATTCGAAGGACGAACAGGAAGATTAATA